AGAATTACCCCACCAAAGGGAAGGAGTTGGTGTAAAACCTGGGATATGGAAGCTTCTTGGTTTAAGGTAAGGCTGAATATGCAAGGGAAGGATTTGGCTAAGGTAGAATTACCCCACCAAAGGTCAGTCCAAAACTTAATTCTATCGCCCTTTCCCACCTTATATCTGATAAAGGAGAATTACCCCACCAAAGGGAAGGAGTTGGTGTAACCCCTCTCTCTTCCCCTCCCTCCCCAATTTCTGCCGCTATTCCCTGCAAATCTTCCCCCTCCCCTAGGAGCTCCACAACTGCCCCCCTCTTGTTAAGTGACCATCTTAACCTATTCTGTTCCTTTGCCATCTTCCACCCCTTTTTAACAAAGCATTCAAATCTTCTTCACCCCTCCACTATTTCTTTTGTCAATTGCAAGAAATAGCTCTACTAATTTATTTTCGTGGTCCTCAAACCAACTGAATGAGATGTTCACCCTAGAGGCCAAAGATCTACCTTCTCCAATCAAATATTGAAGAGAGCAACAACTTTCAGAATGCCTGGATATCCTAACTTCAAGTCTCCTTCCACGCCAACCTAATCATAACCCAAGCAAACATCAACCTTAAACCTTACCCTTGTTTTGAGATCTTGGCACTGATAGAGTCTCCATGTCTGATATTTCCAGAATAGACAAGGATAGCCCTCCTTTGATTCTCCTAAAAGTATGACTCAAACCTGAAGGGCCCTGGTTTCCAACAGATCATCTACCAAAGTTTAGCTTCATGGTAACATGAATTCTGAAATTATTGTGATGGATAATCATCTGGTCTGGTTATAATTGGTGGTTTCTTCGAGGCTTTTCTTTTGTTGCAAAAGTGGAATAATATATTGGCAAATTTTGTTACTTCTGCTTAGATATATTAAGCTCTTTACTGCTGTGATGAGTGCTAGACCTTCTAGTATGCATCACATTAGAAATTTGATTATGTTTGAGAATGGGATTATGAATTGTGTCTGTAATTATTGGTTCTTTCTTGTTAGTAAGAATGACATTTTTTATCAGTATTAGTAAGAATGATATTTCATCTCCCTGGTTACTTATCCTGTATGTAAGATTATTGAAAAATGTCCATTGCATTAGAGGAATGTGAATAGCATTATTTACTAATATGGGTTTGATGTTATAAAAAACTACTATTAATCTGAGCTTGATTATTGGTATACATTACATTAGAAATTTCATTATTTTTGAGGAGGCTAAGATGGTTTGGTCATGAGCATAGAAGACCTTTGGTAGCACCCATACGAAGAAATGATCTGTTGCAAGTTGAAGGAGCTAAAAGGGTTAGGGATAGAAAAAGGGCATGGGTCAAAGTAGTAAGAAATGATTTAAGTGCTAATAATTTAACAATGGATATGACATTAAACAGAATGGAATGGCAAAACAGGACTTGTGTAGCTGACCCCATATAGTTGGGATAAGGCTTGGATGATGATGAATATGAATTATAGTTTTCGGTCTCTGTATAGAAGATTTGGCTTTTCTAAGACCTTATTGCTATTTGCATGTTAGAATTCTGTGATTCTGCAATCATTGCTCATGAATTTTATCTAGATGTATGGGGAAAAAAGTGAAAAAAAAGGACAAATAACAGATCTCCTGTGTCTATCTTATTTTTTTTTGTAAAATTTTTGACATTTCACAGTTCCCTATACCATCACTGTATCTATGTGACATCTCCAATCTTTTTAAGATAAATGTTTGCTTTCATAAAGTATATGCATGATATCACAGTGAATCTAAATATATGCATAACAAATGCATATTTTTCCATTTTGGTCTCAATTCAGTGTTGGTGACGAGTTGCTTTCATGCCTATTTTAGTTTTCACTAGTTAATTTTGAAGAAACATTTGAACTATCAATACCTTAACTTATTTATATCAATTTTCTCACAGCATGATCAAATTGTTTCTGGGATAGATTGGAGTTCAATGTCAAACAGGATAGTTACAGTATCACATGATCGAAACTCGTGAGTATTTGTTATTTGTCTAGATACTTTTTAAGGTTCTCGCTCGAGATGAATGCTTTAAACCATGAGGATATTGGTTTCAAAGTCCAGCCTTTCTTTTGTTTTTGTTTTTCTAATTTATAATTTTCTTTACAGATATGTTTGGAATCAAGAAGCATCTGAATGGGTACCAACTCTTGTTATTCTTAGGCTAAACCGTGCTGCTTTGTGTGTTCAGTGGAGTCCAAAAGGTATGGAAACATCTTATTTGCAAACTGAGTTTCCATTTGAATGCTTGTCTCGTTTTTTAATTTTTTTATAAGTAATAGATTTTTTTTTTCTTATCAATAACACACTTCATTAAATTCATTAAAACTTTTCAATGATAATTACAAAGAGGAAGACAAACTTTCTTATCTTCCAGCTATACCATGAGCCCCAAAAGAAGGAAAAAGAAAGAGAGAAAGATGAGGAAAAACAGAAAAATAATTACAACTGTGCCCAGAACATTGACTCCCTCTCCACCCCTTGTTTAGTTAACCCATCAACAAAAGAATTAGCTGATCTTTTAACCCAACTAATCTTAACCTCCATTTCCTGAGCCAGCCATCTAAATATCCTCCTCATATTACTGTAATTCCATAAGCCACTGTAGTCTTTATTTAGCCATCCAACCACCACCTCTGAGTCCCCTTCAATTACAAGTTTTCTGATATTCATCTCCTTGGCTTTCTGAATTCCTTCCATAACCACATGGATTTCGGCTCGGAGAGAGTCACCCACTCCAATTGGACCTGAGAACATGGAAGAAACAACCCCATTCTCATCCCTGAAGACACCCCCAACCCCTGATTGTTCAGGATTCCCTCTGCAGCTCCCATCAAAGTTTAGTTTTATGAAATCTGCAAGGGGGGGAGTCCAAGACACATTCATCACTGTTTTGATCTGGGTGCTGCTAGCAATCTCACCCCAATTCCTCAACATGTCATCCACTGTATAATCTGTGAATAACTCTAATGATTTCATCCACTGTACTACCCTTACAAGGATCAAAGCCCTCAACTCCTCAATGCTTTTCTCTACTTCTGAGAAAATCCTAGCATTTCTTTCTTCCCATAAGGACCAACAAATCGCAGCCCTTAGTCCTCTCCACATAATCTTGCCCCTTTTCATGTGCCACTTGAAAAAAGGAGAAAACAGATTTTGCATGTTTGATGGAGGGTTCTAGCTACTCCCAAATAGGGAAAGAGCCCACTCCCAAATAGACTGCGCATATTGGCAAGACACCAGTAGGTGAAAACCGGTCTCCCCATCAGCTTTATAGAGAACACACCAGTGAGGGGACAAGCAAGTATTGGGTTTCTTTTGGAGCATATCACTAGTGTTGAATCTTTCCAGAAAGGCTTCCTAGAAAAACTACCAACCCTAGGAGGGATTGGTTTACACCAAACCTCATGAACAGGAAAAGGGATGGTTACAGGACTAGTGGACTGACTTAAGATTTTGAAAAAAGAGGCATAGGAGAAAGAACCAATGGGGTAGGAGTCCAAATTGTAGAATCCACCTTAGTAGGGTCTAAGAAAACATTGTCAAGAAGTTGAAGAAGACTCAAGACACTATCAAGGTCTGAGTCTCTCACAACCCTTCTCAAGCCCAAATTCCACCCAAACCCAGAAGTGGAAGAGGAGGGGGATATGAAGGATGAAACTAGCTCATTTTTAAGGTTAGAGAGTGCATACAAAGAAGGAAACTGGTCCTTTAAAGGAGCATCCCCCACCCAAGTTTGTTCCCATAATTTTATAGCGTTACCCAAGTTCAAGTCATACCTGATAAAAGGGGAGAAAACTGGTAACAATTCATGAATGGCTTTCCAAGGTGAAACACATGTAGTCCTAGCTCGGATTTCAGCATCCCATCCATTTAGCTCCATCCCGTGTATGCTGACCACTATCTTGGCCCATAACTTCTCCTTCTCTAGTGGGAATCTTCACAACCATTTCACCAGAAGAGCTAAATTCCTTTTTCTAATGTTTTCGAGTCCCAAACCACCACTATTTTAACTCCTAGTCACCACCTCCTAGGCTACTCTATGGTCCCTTTTCTCCTCCCCCGGCTCCCAAAGGAAGTCTCTCATCATCTTTTCCACTCTATTGGCAACATTTACCGGGATCTTGAACACTGAAAGGAAATAAATAGGTAAATTTTCTAGAGTAGCCTTAACCAGTGTTATCCTCCCACCCATAGAAAGGTAATTCCTTTTCCAAGAGACAAGTTTCTTTTCAAAACTTTCCACCACCGGATTCCAGAAGCTCTCTCTCTTTGGGCTGTCGCCCAACGGCAACCCCAAATAATTCAAAGGCCACTCAAAGACTTCACACCCAAGCACTTCTGCAATGTCCCTGACCTCACCTTCCTCCATATTCACACCAACTACACAGCTTTTCTCAAAGTTCACCTTCAAATTTGACATTTGTTCAAAGAGTTGTATCACCAATTCCAAATTCCTTATATACCTCATAAGCAATAGAATTTTTATTAAGTTAAAATAGACAATAAGAAAGATACACATTTGAATTCATGTGCACCCCTTGCTTAGCTAAACAATCTGCCACCCCATTTGCCAATTTTCTTTCCCATTGAAACCTCACTACCATGCTTGTGGTTAGCCACTTGAATCTTCACAGAGCCCCCCTAAAGGACCAAGCCACTTTCTCCGGTTCCCTTAGCCACCCAATTACCAGTTCAGAGTCACCTTAAATTAGTATTCTATCAAAGCCCAGCTCTCTACCAAGCTCCACTCCCTGTAAGATTGTATGGGCTTCTGTGTTAAACAGCATCCCCAACTCCAATGGCACCAGATAATAAAGTAATAATCTGACTTGCATTTTTGAATACTCCTCCAATACCAAAGGGCCCCGTGTTGCCTAGGTTGCAACCATTGAAATTCAACTTGATAAAACCTTCTTCAGGGGGCCTCCAAACTACCACATGCTTTGATAGTATAAGCTTTTGCAACCATTTCCTAATTCTGCCACAAGTCATCAAAGCAAAATTGTAAAACAAGTCTGAGACTTTAACCCAATTTATGACCCTGTTAAGCATACACTCCTAAACAGCAGCCTCATCTCCCTCCTTGTCCTTGAAGATTCTAGCATTTCTTTCCTCCCAAACTGTCCACACTAGAGCCACCCTCGGCCCCTGGCACATTTCCACATGACCTTACCTCTTAGGCCACCTAAAGGGTGTAGGGTCAAATAGACTACCGATTTGCAGAGGCTCAGTCCACCTGCCACCAAAAAGACCAAAAAACTTTTTCTAAAGAGCTACAACAAAAGGGTAGGGGATTAGTAAGTGGTAACAACTTTCTCCATTAGCTTATAAAATACTTTTATACTTTTATAAAAACACAATAACATAGATAATAGTAGTTGATCAAGACTACAGTCAGTCTTGAATTCCAAAAGATTTCGGATTGAGAAAAGTAGAACAAAGAGGGAGAAGAAAGCAGAAGTACACAAGGGTTTTGAAAGGAGGGACAGATCGAATGAATCTGCCGCCACCACTCTCTTAATATTTATAGGTTATGTTCACTAAATGTAGGAAAGGGCAGAATTGCCCTTAATGCTTACATGGCAAATAAAACAAATAATAAACTGAAATAA